GGCCGTCCTTCTAGGATCAAGACCCAAGGGTGACTGTGGTTTTCTGGGCTGGAGAAAAAGCCCAGAGCCTGACTTCTAACTCAGACCCAAGTTTTTATTTAATTTTTCCAGCTCAAAGGACTTTTTTTTTTTTCATTACTTGGCAATACTGAGTGTGTGTGATGACAGAGAAGGGAGTAGCTTTCCATTCATCATTAGGTGTCACTCCAGAAGGAGGAGATGAGTTCTGGGACTGTGGGGTTTAGTCATCAACAAGTCAAGAAGAGGATTTTTTTTTTTTTTTTTAAGAGCTGAGAGAGGGAAGCAAGGAATACTTAAAAGAGGCGATTGTCCTTTGCTTTTTCTGGCTCTGGTTTTCTTGTTCCAGCCCCAAACAACAAAATGAAACACATCTGACCTTTTGTTGTTAGGCCCCTCTTGAGAGCTCTCTGGGAGATTTAGCACATTAAGGTCCCAGCTGGAGATCCTGTGCAAACTCCTGTTGTCCTTCTCTGCCTGGAGCTTGTCTGGGAAACGATCAATGGTGTGAGCTCCAAGACCCTACAGTGGGCAGGAAACGCAATGGGCAGCAGCTCTCCACGGATTTGGTGAAGGCTGCCTCTGTGACAGAATTAGCCAGAGTATCTCTCCAACATGATTCACCTTATATGAACCCACAAGAAGATAGATGCTTGAATCCCAGCACTTCCTCTCCCCTGAGAAGAGGGAGCTTCAGATGGGATGTATATTATAGATAATAAGAGAAAATAGCAGAAAGGGCCAGAAGAGGGAAATAAGGAGTAGGAAATGAAGAGGAATTGACTTGGAAAGCAGAGAGGAATGATTCAAAAGCTGTTGGAAGTGTGCACACTCAATTTTCAAAATAAGGCTTTCTACTTCCAAAGACTGAAGGAGAATGCAGTCTTTTAACGTATCAAGATTACAACTTTCATCCATTCAAAGGAATATTTTACATGTCCAACATCTGCATATAGCTTATCTCACTTTGCATAGTAAGTGGATCCCTGGGAAGGTGTCCACAAATGCACTTTTAAGTCTTCTTTTAGAAGTGTCAGAAAATCCGCTTCATGACGTTGTCATGAACATTTTGGAATCTAAATCATCAAATTTGGTTTATAGACCCATGTTTTGGATGCTTTCAAATTTCCTAAGTAATAGATGGAAATGAGTAATAAAATGCTAGCCTTTAAATAATGATCCAGATTAAGGATTAGTATATAAGTTAAGCCTGAAATTCTCTACTCTTCCTTTGATGAGTAGAGGTGCATGCAACTTTGGAAAGCACAGAGCTTGGTACCATGTATTGAAATGCTGTCATTACTGAGGTTGGAGCCAGGGGGTCATAGAAGACCCCAAATGAACAGTTCATTCCTGGAATTAGTTTCATATGACAAATCCAGATTGAGTAGCATGTTTTCCTTGACATGACTTATTTTTGCTTTGACTCTGGCCAACTCAAGGTCATGTAGTTTATACTATGTATATAACTTGAGATGGTACTACTGATTTAATATTTTTTGAGCACCCACAAGGTATCGAACAGTGCAAGCCCCAGCCTGAAGAGCTTCATACAGCGAGTCAGTCACACATGTATCTTACACACATAACAAAGACATCAATGCATGGAGGGAAATCCATCGAAGATCTACTTGGTAGAACAAAAGGCTCCTGACCTCTCATCCATGGGGGATAGACCTTGGGTTCACTCTCAGATCCAGCTACGCTCTTGCCTGGGTCCCCTTGATTTTGCAAGACTACTAAATGTTCAGAAATGGAAGCCATGGAACAGAGATGGTTAACCAGCTTACCTGAGAAATTAAACCTGGAATTTAGCACTCCCAATAGAAGAGCGGGCTGAAAAATCTATAAGAACAAAAATTCAGGAAGCTTGCATCAATTGGAATATTGTTACCTTAGAATCTCTCAGAGTTGCTATTTCCAGGTAACTGTTGCCAACACATATTGAAACACTCCCCAGCTGATTTGCTGAGATAAATCTATTGATTGGCCTGCCAAAAGTGAGACCCAGTGACAATGCTTGCAGAGAGGATTACAGAACCTCCCGTCGGCCTCGGAATGGGCGGCTGCCAAGTACCCGGCTGGATCGGCTCCCAGCATTATGGCCTTTATGACTTCTTGCAGTAAGAAGACCGAATGCTTCGTATTAACTAAAATAAGTTATACTAAATGAAATTTTCTACCTCGGCACTATGTGGATTTCTATAGGACTCCTGAGAGATTTTTTTTTTAAGTTGGTTTGTTTTATAGTCAAACTAGTCCCAGATAGATTTTAGATAGGGTAAGGATTAATTAGCTGATGTTCAGGTGGCAATCTGGATCATTCGTAAAGATGTTTATAAACACAGCATAATTCTTCAGCCTCTTTAGGCTCTCCATAAAGTCCATGCAAATGTTTAAATTTTTAACTTAAGTTGTAGGCATAGAAACAGCTGGCAGCTTTTCTAGTAATTAGTGAGACACTTTCTTCTCACAGTTGATGTAGATTTAAATCAAGCTAATCAGAGAACACTTCATTTTTTTTTAACACCCTGGAAACCAGGATTTGGAATAATTCATGGTGTAAAACTTTATAATGCAAATGAATCTCAAGTTGAAAAAACAACTGATTGGACTCATGCACTGCCTTACACATAGGAGATTTGTAAGGAAAGTATTGAATGAATACTTATATATTCTGATTACACAGATTTGCCTCTGTGTGATTGATGAATACTGTCTGAAGGCTAAAAGAGTATTATTCCCCAAGTGTAGCATTCAACGCCCTGTCAGAATTCAACTGCAAATTCATAGTACCTTTGGCAGGTACAATCAAAGCTTCATTCAGATGTTGCTGAGACTCATTAGAGGACAATTCTAATGGGGCTTAGCCTTGGATGCATATTAAAGTCACCTGAAGTGCTTTGAAAAATGCTGAGGCCCAGGTCCCATCTCAGATCAGTTGGACTCTCTGGGGATAGGACCTAGGTACCAATGTTTTTTGAAAACTCTCCAATTGATTCTAGGAGCAGCCAGGGCTGAGAACCAGGGACTTAAACTTTCCAAAACAGAAACTACAATTAATCAGATCTCTCCCCCAACTAACCCCATCCTTTCCCCCATCCCCTCCATTGTCCACACATTTCCATCAAAAGAGTGCTCTGAGGAAACATGAAATGTCTGTCTGGCCTTGAGCGTCCCAAGTAATAGAGCTGCTAGAAGCACAGGAGTCAGTCTCTGGGATGCCTGGGGGATAAGCTCATTTAGAATGGGCGAGTGACATAATGCTACAGGTGGGCTACATTATTAGAGCACAGGCTTTGTTCTCCACACCCACAGATGAAGCTGAACATTACTTATTTGTGCCATTGCCAAAGGTAACTTGCATCTCCCTAGTTAACCTGCTTTCTCCTTTCTCCCAAGCCAGCCTTTCCCTGCCCTCCTCCATGCTGTGAACAGTCTAGCTATATAACTACTGAAGATGCATACTGCTAACTAGCCCAACCATGAACACTTACTCTCCCATCATGGTTGATGATGGCATTGGAGTAATAGGACTTAATCCTTGTCATCCCAAAGTCTTTCCCCTCTTTCCCTTCATTTCAGGGCACACTTTCATGAGTGAACGAGCTCATTTCAGAGAGTAAGACAAGGAGAGAGGTTAATTCTACTGTATAGTGAGCTAGGGTGGTACTGGAGTCTTACAGATGGTAACAGATGTGCAGTTGCTGCACTGGTTTGTGCCCTTTATGCGTTGGGGGCTGATCTGACAGGTGGATAATGTGTATCACTTCCCAAGACTCTCACCCTCACTGTCCCCTCACTGCTCCCACAACAATGTGAAAACCCTTGTCCCAGGGCACTTGTCCTCATTTACAAAATTCTTGAGGATCATCAGCCTGCTATCATGGCCCAACAGTGTTCACCTGTCCCCTTAACCCTGGAAGGAATGAGGTGTTCGATGGCAGTCAAGTAGTGGTTTATTTTTCAGTTCTGGCCTTAAGTAAACTTCTCCCAGTCCTTGCTTTCTGGGTTGATTGTGTTCCAAGCATGTCACCACCGAGCGGGTGTTGAGCAGTCAGATGACAGCTGTCGATCTGCTGCAACTGAGCCATTAGAGAATGCAAGAGAATGCTTTAGAACATGGTTTACATTGAGTATTCAGAAAACCAAGTATCTATGTACTTGCCGTATGGCAAACACTGGATATATATATACAAGCACACACACAGATAGATGTCTGTCCCATGCACAGTTACATGCCCCTTTAAGTGATTTGTATCATTTTTCTTGTCCCTATTTATCTACCACTTCATTGACTAACTCACCTTATCATTTTCAAATAGAAGTTAGGGGATTAGGAGGAGGGAAACAATAGCAAGACCTTTTGAAAGGTGGCTCCTGAGCACTTTTGTGCCATAAAATCAAGGGAATCTAAAAGTAAAACACTTTTTGTATGGAAAGTTCTTATTCAGGAAATGCTGGAATCCCAGATATAGATTTGTAATACATATTTCCCTGGAATCCTAAGAATTAATGGGTTCAAACTGACTCATAAATATCAGGTATGATAGCTCAGTTGAGTCCTTTTAAAAGGCAACCCAAAAAGCTTCACCAACCCCAACGCAGTCATTTTAAACCCCACCCCCATTGTTCCTTCATCTCACCATTGAGCATGTAGAAGGGAAAGCAAGGAAGACAGCCAGGGTTCTGATTTACTGTTGTGAACCAAGAGAAAGAGCTTTGTTTGGCATTCAAGGGCATAAAGAGGAAATAATAAATCCTCTCCCCTCTCCCTGGCCTCTTCCAGGCAAAGCACAAGACTCCCACCAAAGCCCAGTTCACATTTTACATAGACACAAGGACAAGGCAAGACAACTGGACAGGAGGGCTAAGCTGGAAGTTTTGCCACTTATTGGATTCGCCCTGGCGTTGGGCGTTAAGTGCTCCAGTCCGGCCTCAGCTGGGCACCCCCAGAGACGAGTGGACGTGAAGCTCCCCAACCAAGCCCTGACGTAGGGCCCTCAGATGACCACGCTGACTGTCATGGTCTGGCCGTGCGGTGCGATCTTGCGTGGCCAGGCAAGCAAGAGCTTGCGCAGCTCCTCACGGAAGTTGTCGTGCAGCCAGGCATAAATGAAGGGGTTATAGCACGCCGAGCTCATGGCGAGCCAGTGGCAGAGCAGCTGCACTAACCCGAAGGCGTAGGGGTCGATGGCGTGCGGGTCGAGGTCCCGCAACAGGTTGAAGACGTGCAGCGGCAGCCAGCAGACGGCGAACACCACCACGACCACCACCAGCAGACAGAAGGTGCGGCGGCGGCGCGCGCGGTCCCAGTCGGCCTGACTCTGGGTCACGCAGCCCGGTACCACGCGGTTCCGTAGCTTCACCGACACCCGGACGTAAGACAGGAGGATGACCAGCAGGGGGAGCAGGTAGGTGACGAGCAGCAGCCCCCAAGCATAGAGCTGGCGCTGGAGCTCCTGAGACCCCCAGAATTCCTCGCAGAGGCGCACCCCGTGCATCTTGAGCTCGACGTGGTACGTGTGCACGGCGGCCGGCAGCGCCAGCACCGCGGACAGCGCCCAGATGGCCAGCACTGCGCAGGCGCTGAGGCGCAGTGAGACGCGCCGCCGCAGCGGGTGCGCCAGCACGACGTAGCGGTCCACCGCGATGGTGGTGAGCGTGAACACGGACACGTAGACGGTGACAGGCTGCAGGAAGAAGACCAGGTGGCACAGGCCGCCGCCAAACACCCAGCCGCGGGGCTCGAAAGCGTACGCCAGCGTGAGCGGCACGCAGGCGGTGCACATGAGCACGTCGGACAAGGCCAGGTTGCCGATGAGGAAGTTGGTCACGTTGTGCAGCCGACGCACCCGCGCAATCACCAGCACCAGCAGGCAGTTGCCCACCAGCCCTACAACCACCACGATGCTGTAGAGCAGCACGATCAGCCCCTTCAGCTGATGCACCAGCTGCAGGCTTTGGAAGGGCGTGATGGCCTGAGCGCCTGGGTCAGCCGCAGACCCATTGACCGCCGAGGCCTCTATGCTCTGATTGGCAGGAGTTGAGGCCGCCGGTGGCAGCCCAGAAAATAAGTCAGGGACCGGGGGTTCCTGAGTCGGCAGTGAGGCCATGGCCACCTGTCCAAAGAGAATCAAAGCCCGTCACTTCCCATTGTCCATCCATCCCCTACTACACCAATCGTGCCTCCCTCCCCCACCTCAAGTACCCAAATACTCCCTTTAGAATAACTGGCCAAAATAAATTACAACAATCAGAAGTACTGTCATCCCCCCTATGTAAAAATAAATCTATGCGAGATTACGTATGCACAGGTTATTTAAACGCCTCCTAGTCAATGTAGAGCCTTTGCAGCCTACGCAGGTCAGACCCAGGAGCATGATCCTACCTGGTGAGTGGGGCTTGGCTTGCGGAAAAACGCTCCGGGGACGGAGGGGTCGAATCCCGGCTGTCCCCCCGGCGGTCCTCAGCCCACGACGGCGGTGCAGGCTTCTCGCTTCTCCGCGGGAGCTCAACAGATTCGGGAGTTCCCAGTGGGCTGGTGGGCTCGCAGTTTTTGAGAGGGACTGGGGAGCCCCTCCCCTCCGCCCGCCCCGCCCCCCCATCCAGCGCTCCCTTGTATGGAAAATAGGGGCGGAGCGCGCACCACCCGACTGGTGCTTAGACAACTAGGTAGAAGGGTAGTGTGAAGACGATGGAAACAGAAAAGGGAGGAAGGGCAGACAAACCTGGGTGAGAGGGACGAGGGAGAATCTCGATGCGGGAGCTTGCTGAGCCTTGGCAGAGTCCTGCTCCGGCGGAGGGAGCGGTGGATGAAGAGGAAGGAGCGGCTTCAAGCGCCAGGCTCTCAGGATGACCTGGAGCAGGGTAAGAAGTGGAGTGAGGGACTGAGCTACACCACGGGATGTGAGGAAGAGATGAGGGACCCATCCCTAAGAGCTGGACCCTGCTAAGAGTCTGGGCTGGAGTGGACAGGACGTTCTGGCAGGGATTTAAAATTTAGAGTCTGGAGCTCGCCGCAGACCTTCAGGTCCTCGCCCTTCCCGGGACCCCCTGCGCCCTTCACCAGGCTGCGGCGTGCCTGGAGAGCCGCGAGTCCAGCTAAGTAACAGAGTTCAGAACAGCGGACAGCTCCCGCGGCACCCCGCCGCGCGATGCTTGGGTCCCGGGGGGCGCGGGGGGAGGACCAATAAGGAGTTCCCGCCTCTCTCTGCGTCCGACGCTTTCAGAGAACGAACCTGGCCTGGTTCAAACAGCTGCCTCTCCGCCTGTTTTCTGGGCTGGGGCTGCCGACTAGGAGAGCAGTATGGTGAAGTGGAGGAAAATAAGCAGGGGTCTCTGGGGGTCGGAGGGTGGTGACGCGTTCCTGCTGTGGGTCCCAGCACTTAGTGCCAATGACGACGCTGTCTCACCTCCCTAGGTCAGAAGATGCTGCTCTCACTCCAGTTAGCCTACACAGGCACAATTCAATACCTGGCCCCAGTACTCCCCTACTCACCCTGTAGCTATTTTATTTTATTTTTTAAGATTTTACTTATTTATTGGAGAGAGAGTGAGAGAGAGAGAAAGAGTGCCCGCGCATGAGCAGGAGGGAGGGACAGAGAGGAAAGCAGACTCCCCGCTGAGCAGGGAGCCAGCTTGGGGCTCATCCCAGGACCCCAAGATCATGACCTGAGCTGAAGGCGGACGTTTAACTGACTGAACCACCCAGGCGCCCCTGATCTTTCTTTCTCAGCCCCCATGACCTATCCCTTATCTGCCTGACTCTTCCAGGACAGTAGGCAAGCTTCAGGACTGGGACCCTACCGTCTTCTTCCTTACATAAACACACACAGGCCTCCTTACCGCATTTTAGGATTAAAAATCATACTAGTGATTGCAGGATTTCCACAAGACTAACAAAAGTAACCGACATTTGAGAAGCTTAAAAGTTACATAAAATCTCCAGCAGCAGCAAATTCTCATTGAAATGCAAATTAACCTGAAAGACAGTGGGGAGGAGGTCAAGGAAGGAGGCTTTGTAACCTTCTTCCTTTGAATCTGCCTCATCCCCTCCTTGTCCCCTCTCCAGGAAACTTTTGTCCTTTGTCCTCTAGCCGCAGATGCCCGGATTAGGCTGGGAAGAAGCAAAATTAGTCCACCTTGCAAATTCAAGTGATTGACTCATACAGAAGGAAAAGTCAACAATGGAAGAAAAGCAATCAATGTGATACAACTGTATCTATTCTAAACCCACACACTCCCTGAGTTATAATCAATATAGCTGAAGCCAATCTGATATGGACAAAAACATCAGAATGAAATGCAGTCTGGGTCTGCCTTATCATTTACCTGCTAATGTTTCCCATCATGTTCACAAACAGAGTTATACGCACCCAAAAGCAGAGGCACCCTTTTGCTTCAAAATATCTTAAGCAGAGGAAATCATGGTAATGAAGGTAAAAAAGGGATTGGGGATGTGGTTAGTCCCCATAACTAGAGCCATCACTCTGATCGATATCACTGATGCATAATACTAAAAATAATAAAAAGACAACCTTATTTTTGTAGGCATGCCTACTGCATGCAAATGTCAGTATTTGGAAGTTAACCACTGGGACACCTTCCAGACAAGAAAGTCGGTCATTTGCCAAGTTCCAGATCAAATCTGGTATGAGTTTTATTGTTGTCAGTATTTGCAGAGTAAGAAGGAAGTAAACATCTAAGACTAGAATAGTCCACTTTAAATCTTTATTCTCTCCGGTCTTCACCGGAATGAAGGCTAGTCCCTCTCACTCCGCCAGGACATCATGATTAAACCATACCAATGTTTAGACTTTCCTGTCTGAACTAATAGTGCTCTAGAAACCTGAGAGATCATAAATAAACAATTTTCTAGGACAAATGGAAGAAAAATAGTACTCCATATAGTAGATAGCAAATCATGGGATTTTATTACTTACTCTTCCTCAAAAGCTTTCAATGGCCCATCAGAGGAAGGCCAGGCCCTTCAGCTTGGCATTTCCAACCAACATGGACCCCTATTCTGTCTCATCCTCTCTTATTTTTTATGTTTGGGCTGGCCTCCCACCTCTATCCATCTCTCTCTCTCTCTCTCTCTCTCTCTCTCTCATATATATATATATATATATTTAAGCCAAGCTGGATGCTAACATGTTCTCATCATTCCTGTCTGATAACACTCTCAGAGGTCGTTCCCTTTCTCCAGAATGCCGGTTGCTTGGTCCCCACTCAACTCCACATTCTTCACCTCCCAGAAGACCCAACTCAAAGATTATCTTTTCCTCAAAGTCTTTTCTCTTTCATGATCGTTCTGTCCTTTATTACTTTCTACATTTTAAAGTGTTTTAATCCCCTGCATCCACCAACCACAACTATAAATTCTTTCTGGATACCCACAATATGCCTGAACCCAGCAGATACCCAGTATATGTTTCTTATGATTGAATGGATAAAAATAGCCACTCTTTGTTGAGGGCTTTTTACTTACCAGACGCTAGGCTAAGTACATTACATATTTATCTTACTTGATCGCCTCAAAATTCTTATTATATCCATTTTAGGGATGAGGAAACTGGCTCTTCAAGGCCAGTTGGATAATGGCACAACTCTAAGCAGTGAGGCTGGAACTTCCACTTAGATTCACCTGGTTCTGGAGCCAAAGTACTTCACACTTTACTGCCTCCTAATGAATGAGAGAAGCACCTGCACACACTGAAAATACAAGTAGGTTCAAATGGGATTAAATAAATATAGGAATCCTCCTCTGTTATGGTTTATCAGAGGAAACTCTAACGAATCTGACTGCAGCCCTAGCACTATTGTGTTTAAGTTAAACAGATTTTTTTTTTAAGATTTTATTTATTTATTTGAGAGAGAGCACAAGCAGGGGGAGCAGCAGAGGGAGAGGGAGAAGAAGGCTCCCCACTGAGCAAGGAGCCTGATGCAGGGCTTGATCCAAGGACCCCAGGATTATGACCTGAGCCAAAGGCAGACACTTAACTGACTGAGCCACCCAGGCGTCCCAGCTCACCCTAAGTGTCCCTTGCTTAAGATAAAACTCGTGGGCTGTATGAACTTCAGAAGATGGTATTATGTTTTATGATGGCAGGAGACAACAGGATATAGAAAACAGAAGACAGAGACAACAGAGATAAGGACTACAGGGAAACTGGATTAAAGGATCTGAAAATTTTATGCCAGCTAAATTCATGCTGATATATTGCACTTAGCCCAACCATACGAGAAACATATATGTACATATATTTAAATTACTAGTTGGGAAACAGCAATTTTTTGAGACTTATCTAGGTCCAGGCAATAACAAAATAGATGCCCCCACCAAAAAAGAGTTTTCTCTTTTAAGCCTGTCCTGAGTGGATTCCAAGAGCCAGGCTCCCCTCCGCTGCCCAGGCTTCTCAGGCTGATCCGTGCAGAAGGTCTAGACACCCACTCAGTACAACGGGGCTGGCAGCCTGCAGAAGACAACAACCTGAGCCGGCAGGTAAGAAGGGACCTGAAGTCACATGCTAAAGTGAAAAAATAGTGTTTCCCTTAGATCACTTTGAGAAAGTGCTTTTCATCACAGACTCCAGACATATCAATTATCACTTCCAACTTTGCCCTGCACACCCCAGTCGTTTTTAAATTCTCCAACACAGCTCTGCCTGAAAAGAGTGGAGGCTTAAAAGCTGTTTTGCTGGGGCACCTGGGTGGTTCAGTGGGTTGAGCCTCTGCCTTTGGCTCGGGTCATGATCTCAAAGTCCTGGGATTGAGCCCCACATTGGACTCTCTTCTCTCTCTGCCTGCCTCTCTGCCTACTTGTGATCTCTCTCTCTGTCAAATAAATAAAATCTTTAAAAAAAAAAAAAAAAGCTGTTTTGCTGCCTAGAAACCGTCCTTGGCTGGGCTTTTTTTCTCAGCCTGTTCAAAATCAAAAGTGAGCCCCAAATAGCCTTGTGCCCTCCGCAGGGGCCTGTGGGACACACAACTTGCTTCTTTCCTATTTGAAGGTGGGCTCCCTGGGAAAGGAGTGGATGAGTCCCCAGAGTAACCTACAAAGTTGAGGTAGAGTAGGAAAATCTTCCCTGCCACCAGAGAAAAGGGAACAATGAAACCTGCTAATTCAACAAATATTTGTGATACACCCACTATGGGAGAAAGGGTAGACAAGGTGCCCTGAGTGAGAAAAAGATGAATAAGACATGGGGCGCCTGGGTGGCTCCATGGGTTAAAGCCTCTGCCTTCGGCTCAGGTCATGATCCCAGGGTCCTGGGATCGAGCCCCGCATCGGGCTCTCTGCTCAGTGGCGAGCCTGCTTCCCACCGCCCTCCCCTCCCCACCCCACCCCCCGCCTCTGCCTATTTGTGATCTCTGTCTGCCAAATAAATAAATAAAATCTTTTTTAAAAATTAAAAAAAAAAGATGAGTAAGACATATTCCTTCCCTCAAAGAACTAACAGTCTTGTAAATCAGCTATCCCTGAGCCCTGATTTCCCAGTTCTTTCCAGACGTATATATCTCATAAATCTGTTTCTTTATATTTTTTTAAGGAATGGTTTGTGCATGAATTATGTACTCAACTAAAAATAAGACCTTGAGGGGCTCCTGGGCGGCTCAGGCGGTTAAGCATCTGCCCCCGGCTCTGGTCACCATCAGGGATGGAGCCCCTCTGCATGCTTCCCTGCTCAGCAGGGAGTCTGCGAGTCCCTCTCCCTCTGCCCCTCCCCCTGCCTGGGAGATAAATAAATAAAATCTTGAAAAAATAAATAAATAAAAATAAGATCTTGAGTTAGCAGTCAGG